TATTAAATAAGCAAGCGGTTGCCAATAAGCTTGGCAAATATTTGACAAGAACGCGTCGACAAATGCAACGTTACAGTACAGTACAGCTACTCTTGGTAGATACTGGGTGCCTACTATTAGACAGACCTTTTTTCCCACATCAGGCTTATTGTCTTTTTCTTTACCTGGGTAATCTGTATAAAAATGACAACCGAACAGTAGACGGGTGCCGGTAATTTTTGAACACTTATGCTCAAAAAACCTTTGACAGTTATTATTATTACCGGAGCTGTTCGGGGAAGATCCTGTTTAGCTTTGACAGATGACCTATACCGAGCTTCGGTATATTGGCCATATTGGCGAACAGCAGGCATCCCATGACGGAGGGGCACAGAAGCGGCTAAAACAATTCATAGTCACGGAAAAGTAAACAATAGCCATATCAGGGGTTCGAGCCACGTGTGCAGTGGCTACATATTTTTTTGTAACTTGCACAAGTATCTGATAACTTCGCTGCTGTTGATTTTAGAAGAAAACAGTTAATAACCGCACTGCATAGACTATAAGAGACCCAATAGTAAGAGAAGTTAGACGTATGAAACGGTGGTCTATCATAGAATATCAAGCCAAATGATCGGTCAAATTGATCGCAGGTATACTTCAATGTGATAGAAGTACGTAATTTACCAATAACAGAGACTTTTGAACATTAAATCTGTTTCAACTGAAAAATGTGCAGCAGCAGGTACATCTGAGAATATTTTTTTGAACGTGTACAACTCCAGGGATGTCTAGCATAACGTCTCATATTCACCTTTGTTCTTTTGGAGGATGTTTTCATCGAACGTTGCCTGTTTGGCGCTGCGCGAAAACGACACCAGTGCACCAGTACACTAGCGCCATGCATATCGCGCCAAAAACAAAAAATCCAAACTAGAACGTACGGAAAAACAGTTTAGTTACTTGGGCTTCAGCAATTAAGACACGACCACAAATAACCTGCTGCCTTTTCATCCCTGCGGCCCTTTTTTCGAAAAAAAAAACAAGGATAATAGCAGCACAGGCCTCCTAAAAAGAAGCTTGGATAATGTATAAACAATTACACTGTTCCATTTCCTTGCAAACGCAAAGTTCTCAAGGCTCGCATCGAGCTAACAAAAAGTGCGTGTTATTCAGGTCGTGTGGGCGCCTTTTACGAGCGAACATACTCGTATTTGCTAATCCTCATACTTAATGCAGACCATGTATATTTTATTTAGTACTTAATTTTCCAATATGACACGTATGAGGCACCCGTCTAAAAATGACAAAGGGCGGGCCGAAATAAGCACGTACGTTGCCTCTTCGAAATATCGATAACGGCGCCTAGAAATTATTATTTTTAAATGTACGGCATTGAGCACCTTAATATTTATATTTCTATTCCGGTAGCATGCCAACTCGGCCGTTGATACACAATTACCGTAGCACGCGGTCACGTTGTAGCTAGGTCATCTTTTAACTATTGAGGTGTTATGAGTATCCAATAGAAACAAAAAAATTGCCGACTCATTTATCGATTTGGTTGACGTTTGCGGCCAGGTGTCCTGAGTTAGGGTAACGAAAAAATACATCTAAGAGGAACTACTCGTTAAGTTCTGATAATGATCTCAGTTTTCTACATAGATATGTAAGCTTTGTATTACCAAAGAATAAATTGGAATTCGCTAATTTCAAAGTTGCCTGATACACTACGATCACGTAAATCAAATACCCATCGATAGATAAACCGCCCGATCGAGACGTGAGACCTTAGGTAACCACAATTAGCGAAAAAAAAAAAACTTGTACAGTGGCCTTATCCAATAGCATGTCATCATTTCAGTTCAGAGTCATATTATAGAGACTGTGCATAATGGAACATTTTAATTGAGGTTTGTAAAACTATCTACACAATATATCTTTTTTTTTTAAGTCAGAAGCCTCGTTTTCAAGCCAGCGTATCGACAAATAAAATAACATAAGCTTACAATTTTTTAATGGGCTTCAATATTATCAATTTGATCCACTGTGGTCTACCATCCGACCCTGGTTTTTTTAGCTGTGATGCCAGTCACTTTATGTAGTAAGGTCAACAACTAAGTTGCTTTATTTCCTAATTTGGGACCTCATATCCATTACGCCGTTGCTGGCTCTGATTTCAACCTTAGCATGAAAAAATCATGACATCTTAGCATGGCGATGAAAAATTTTTGCTACCTATCGATCGGATGTCCGTCCCTTGTCCTACTGAGGTGTGCTGATTTGCTTACGGTCTTTTGCTCACAATGACCTTAACGAAGTGATTGCCCAATCATGCGCGCACCTATTCCGTTTTATACCTACAAAGACCTGTCCGATCGGAACTTTACGCACTCCAGAAGCATCCAAGTACAAATCTATTATCGTCATCGTCCATCCATAGATTCCGTTTCATCAGGACCCGCCACAGCAAAATCGGCTATTTCGGCGTCAACTCGACACGTTTTTCAAAATAACTTTGTCACTACTATTTCTCCTATGACAATAGCGTCATCATTCATTCTTCATAATCGGCCTTGGACGAACGACAAACAATAGTTCCTCGAACACAAATTGTCTAGTTTGACTTAGTTAACAACGGAGCGCTCTATAACCATGTCTGTTCCGCTGGTGATTTTTTAGTCTGAATGAGGATCATTTTTTGATGCAGTATCTAGTCTAGTGCCAGTAGTACCCCATGTTTGGGGGCAAGCTGTTAACAAGCAGGTAATCATATAATGTAATTAATAATGCTCGTAACAACGCCAGGCGTTTTCTTTGAACTGACTTTTTAGCATCATTTTGTACTGAGAACGAGCTCTATGGTGATAAAGTGATAAGTCAGCATTTGATTTTTCGCGGTTTCGTTTATTACTCAGTATTAACACCGATGTGGATTGTATGACAAATAATAAGGCTGATATTGCAGTGGTCACATTCTGCTTCTTAGATTATCGATGACTGCTAGTATCTGCTCTACATGCAAACGTAAAAGATAGAAAAATAGAAAACCGAAACACCCAGTTGATTCTCGAGTTTAGCTTTTTAACCGTAATCCAAAATAGGCACTCCACAAGGAAGCACATGATCAAATACAAAAAACACCTACGACTAACTGTTCGCGTCCTTTGGAATCACACTTCATGCTCAGACCCGACACGTCATGATAATTCAGACGACGCCGAACAGATCTTGATTTGCGTATTAGACAAAAAAAAAAACCGTGATAGAAAACAGAGCTCATCTACTTCTCTTTGACAAAGAGCCTGTATTGATAGTACTTAAAGGAGTAAAATCGTTCGTCTACGAAACTTCTTAGTTCTTTAGACAAAATTAAGCCTATTCTCATAATGGAGCATCTTTTTTTTGCTTTTTTGTTTTTTATAATTACTGTAACTCTTTGTCTTCATGGATGAAAGCTGAATCATGTAATTCCAACTATGGAATCTACTAGACGTTACACATAGACTCAGATGATGAACGGTCGCGCGTGTCAGTCTGGAACGGAACCCCGAATATTTTCGACATTTTTTTCATACATATAAGGGGTTTAGTTGAGAATGGTTATAGCATTTTTAATGCTAATCCATTTGAACGTTATCTGGGTCCCTTCAGCAGCCAGTTAAGCCGTATCTCTCGTCGTTGACTCACACAGTACGTGTAAGGTGAGCAACCCCACAGTTGTCTTGCAGAACGACATAGAATTATATGAAAAACAATGAACAATTATTAAAAAGGCCCAATCCACCCCGATCACCGCACCTTATCGTATAAGGCTACGTACTGTACCGTATGCGAATTCACAATAATACCGGTTCAGGAATTGGCAGAAGTTTGTGCAATCGGTAGGCCGATGCCGTGCCTGCTAACGGCCTGATACGGTCAGACCTTCACCGGGACTGACCAGCTTCGCGTAATGGCATTTCGTGTGCGGTGATTTATGGATGATCATAAATCAGGATGTGGGGAAAACGACTACACATGTAAAATCTGGCTAATCTTTGGCTGAAGATACGGTGGCTGAAGAGAGACATCCCTTAAATCCATAACAGTACCTCATCATTCACTGTTGCTACAAAGTAATGAAATCCTTAGATTATGTTTTTTAGGCTAAAACTTTCATTTCACTGTAAATGCACGCGAATTCTGCATGAATGTACGGACGCTTATTTGGTTAAGTGGTTCTCACGAGCATTTATATTAGCTAGAGTAAACACTAGAGTTTGATGTAATTTTCGCAGACTCAGTGTGGCTACACGGGACAGAGTCAAGAACAGCTATTTACGGATGCTTCCGGTATGCAACATGCTCAACGCTGTGCATATATTAAATTGATAATAAATTTATAATTTGACATAAGACTAGCGGCACTCGCCGCTAGTGCTTTTGTAGCACGATTATAGTTCAGAAGCAGCTCTGGGGGGCTAATGCTCGAAGCATTAGCCCCCCAAGAGCTGCTTCTCTTCGTCCTTACGTCATAATACGTAATGTTTCATTGACCCTTTTTCTTGTTGGAAATAATTTAACGGTGGCAATTTTTGGGGTGCGTGTGCTTCATTCCGATTGTGCTGAAACTCGCGACCAATCTGGGATCTTTGCTTCTCAATTACAGTAACAGCATTCATAGAGTTATATCGGCAGATATCTTGCAACCCTTTTTGCCCCTCGTTCTTTTGATACAGAACATTCTCTACAGTAGTAAATTTCCGAGAATCATGTTATCTATGTTAATTCCGTCTTTTCTTTAAGGTACCGTTGTATGTACCGTGATGTTTATATGCTCCTTCTCGGAACCTTGTATTCATCTGTTTTTACCTTTGCTGACCCTAACGTGATAAATCGATGCCTCATTAAAGAAATAAGGTTGGACAACGATCCAGCCCATGGCTGATGGCTCCGTCAAGACTGTTCATCCGAGATTAATACCCAAGATCGCCTGAAATCGGCGTTCCCTTGCTGAAAGAAAGCATTGAAGTACTCACATCTTACAACATCTGGGGGAAGCTGCGCAGGTTCGTTTTCGCGGATAATCGGCTCTCGTTGTTTCCCTGAAACAATCAAAACACAGTAACATTATCGGCCATGCCAAATTACGTAGTATAATACGAAATATGTATTAAGTACAACAACGCCGTAGAGACGCTTTGGCAGTGATAATTAGCGAGCAGCATGGACGGCCGTCTGCTGATAATCAGTAATATGCAAGTGTCTATAGAAGCTTGAGTTAGGTCAACATCTGCCGTTAACGTGTATTCTTTTTCTAGAATAAAAGTAATACAATAGGCAACTGCTGTTCGACCGATCATTTCGACTAGTCTCATGTAGCCAGCACTAGAGAAGTGCCAGTTTTTACACAACGGGTATCATTTAGCTCAACACTATATATGATGTTCAAAGCATCAGCAGGGTGCTCCCAACACTGCTGACGTTGTCCTCGGCCACTGCGCTCCTGTGCTTTACTGCACTTATAAAGAATAGGCCCAGGACCAGGTTCCGCCCATCTGCATACGCACAATTCCAAGGATAGGCGCAAGACTCCAATTTTCTTCGAGAACGAACTGATTGTTACTTCCGTCCCTTACGTTAGACTGTACATAGCTTAGATTCGTGCAGCGCGACTATCATTTTCGGCCTTTCTATTTCGGCATTTATGTCGACACAGAATCATTTGTACATTTGGACACTTGTAAAAGGTCAAACGGCACCTAAGAAAGGTTCCAAAGGAAAACGGAAAAGTTAAGTGGGAGGTGCCACATGGCAGCAACCAGAAAATGCCGTGCTTAGTGACGAGCCATGCCACCATAGGAAACGATGTGTCCTGTTAGGCAGTCACCCAAAAATATTCCATGCTAACAATGATTGCGGTGGCATATTCTGACAACGTTTTGGGAATCCGCTCCGCGAATGCTGAATAGGCAGATACGTAATGACTTATACCCTAGTTAAATTTCAGTGAAAAACACACTTAATAATTATTTTCAGCACAGAAGCATTATCATCAAAACGGATATTTACTATCTACTTAAATACTTACTAGAAGTAAGTTCCACGCTACGTTTTGTCCCATAGAATGATATTTTACGAAAAAAATTATTGAACTTATCCAGCTATGACTCACCATCATCAACACTGATACATCCTGACGACATCTCCTGGCCGTCTATGGACCAACGACCGATTCAGGTGGGATATGTGAAAAGAAAGCACATTGTAGCACCGCACACATTACACACATGTTAGTACAACTGAACAACTACTTTTGAGCTTTATAAAAATGTTGTTAAATAAAAACTAATCAGCAGCATGCACAGTATCTAATAACACGTTGCAAAACAAGTTAGTGATGACGTGCTCGCTGATGAAACTTCAGGAAAATTGTTGGATTTCCCAAATTCGCTGTTTCCTAATTGCCCAAGTAGCACCCACCACTACGTTAAACATCTCAAACATTAAGTTCTATATACAAAACTTCTGGTTTGAGACCGTTTCTTTTCGCGTAATTGGTACAGCAATGAAATCCAATGCAGTAAGCCGTCATCCATGTAAACAATCGACGCCTACGCGAAGTATTTTAATGTATTTCTATGTCCCGCAATTTCTAAACAGACGGGGGCCACTTTTCAGAGCATCGAACGTGCACATAGCAAAGATGAACTTGCCTGAGTTTGTCTATTTCAATTCAACGGTTTATCGCTCAGGACTCCATTTCGAATAAAAGGATCTAATCCTGTCGCTACTACAGTGCCACGGGTAAAGTAGCAGCAGCAGTATAGATAATCTTTTTTTTTTTTTTTTTTTTTTTTTTATTTTAACAGTTCGTGTAACCTAGGTGGTCGGTCACGTTCGCTTCCAATCGTTCAAGCCCTCAGAGAGATCACGGTTGGTCGAACTGCAACTTTTTGAAGGTCACGCGCTCTGTCTAGCAATGGTCGTAGTCGACGAAAAGCATTGCCCCGAACGGAAGAGTAAGTTTGGACAATTTAAAACTTCAAAATGAATCACTCTATCTTGGAGCTTTATCTAGCTGAGACAAATTATGGTGAAACGAGCTTAGACCTCGCATGAAGTAAGAATAGATGTACGCATATTACAATGTAAACAAGACATTGTCGCTAAATTGTTTCTACTTGTCGATTTGTGTGGTTGGCGGAACACATCTGAGAGATAACAATGTGAATTGTTAAAAACAAAAAAAAAAAAATCTCTATTACAACTAAGGTGAGGCAAGTAGAATGAATCAATGCACTTACTCGGAGTTACGGTCCGGTCGAAATTAGCCTTCGGTTGAAAGAGCTGCTTGAAATGGTTGGCACAATATAATTCGCTCTCGTGAGAGTGATACGATTCGGCACTGAAATAGCATCCCCAAAGCAGAGGGCATATTTATAAAGGCAAAATGTTAATTTCATTTAATAGGAACGTTTATTAGATACGGAACGCTGTCTACCATTACCGAGAAAAAGAACATTCAGCTTATACAATTCAGCGTAGGGCTAAACGAAAAGGAAACCCTTTCTTGGATATAAAATAGGTTGTTACACACGCACGTTTTTTGAACGGAATCGGCAGAGCCTACGGTTTGCCTAAACATGATGGGTGGCGATATCGAAGGCTTTGCTGCTTTTTTTGCTTATATTAGCATCAACCCACTCGAGCTTTGCCGTTCTGATAGGCAAAATTCGAGTAGTAATGACGATCCCCAAACAGAACCTAAATCGTGGGATCCTTCACAGAGCTAACTGAAATTCGGGTCGCTTTGACCACTCAAGGTCCAATCGGCTAAAGTCGTCGCTAGGTGCAACGTAGTTCCAATTTCTACTGCTCCAACCACCAATGCAGAAAGCAACCCAATTTCAATTCTTTCTATAATAAATGACGATCGGCCGGAATTCGAGTTAGGTTAACGATTAGTCTCAACACTGTCCTCTTACTTAAATTTAAGAAATTAAGTTAAAAAATCCTATTTGCTTTTTTGGTCAACCTCTGCTTGTTTTTTCGGCTTGTGGCATATCACTGTGGAGCTCGATCGAGTCTGGTTTGCCGGCGAAATTAAGATAATTTGCTGTAGTGAACTATCGCTAACTAATAATCAAAACACGTTAAAATACGTAAGATCCGCTACCGGCGATGTACTTACTATAGGCCGGCGGATATTTTGCTCAACCTAAGGGAGATTTCTCTATGCTAGCCGCGTACAGATCAATTCGTCATCACTTACAAGTTAGACGCATGAAAACTACAATGTACAATCTATTTGCTTTAAACTGCACAAAAATTGGCGAACAAAAATGAAGACTAAGCATCCTGTGGATTCAAGTGAGGCCACATATGGCACGCGCAGTCTTCTTGTACAAATAGTACCACCGTAGTGATTTTCCGTTTGTTAAACAAATCTCCTCTCAAACCGACGATGCGCATATTGACTAACACGCAATGCTTCGCAGAAAAGCTTATTAAGGATAAATAATGGACATAACGCCGTTATATCTACTTAAGCGCGAACGTAGATGTCGAAAGGACAAACCGTCGAAGGAACTGGGTTCACTGGAAGAACGCAATGCACAACTACTTGAACTATGACGACGTTCCCAAATCTCAGCTTATAAATGGCGCTACGAAAACGGGGTGCAATTCCCCCGGTGACTCTGACTCAGAGACTTACCTCAGTGACTTCTTACATTCCTTGCAAGTGAAGCACTTCTTGTGGTATTGAGCCTTTTCGGCGCGAACGCATTCAGCGGGGTAGACGGTTCCCTGACACCGCTTACATTTACCATCCACGTCGCCTGATTCCACGCTGAATTGGTTCTGGAGCTTCTTTTTGTCCACACTGAGTTTCACATCCTCGATGGGCGAAGCTTCCCGGGCAGCATGGATGCTCGTCTGCCTGGTCAAGCTTTCGCGCTAGAACACAAGTACAGATGGTAGCATAGACGTTATCAAACCGCCTTCCGTCAATTTTTTCCGTGCAGCTTTAGGCTAATTAATGATAAGCAACACACAACAAGAACAACAAAAGACCACGTACAGCGTTCTCTGCTTAACACTGAACAATCTACTGCACGGTGCATGTCCTCCACCAGTGTGGTCATGATTGCACAAGCAGGCACATAATGTATACGAAAATAGTCCGAGGTGACGAAGTTGATGCAGGCACGTGTCCTTTTGAATTTTGGACTTTCTTCTTTCATTTCTTTTATTCATTGTAGATTGTCGGCCTGCTTGCCTGTCACAAAACCTAATACACTACCTTGGTCAATGAAGCCTAACCGTTAATCACTGTCGAACGTATTGAAGTCGCCTTTTTTGTCTGGTATAAAGGTTCGTCGAACCTAATTGTGTGGTCAATAGTCATGGGGTTATACAAATCGCGTTTCTGAAGTACTACTACTACTCGTTTACCTATCTTTAGCGGGCCGTGTGTTACTCGCATGAATTAAGATGAATGAATTGGACTTGGTTTTTCTTCCATGAAGTATGTAAAAGGTGACTGACGGGCGGGACGTTTTTATTTAAGCTGACATAAATCACAAGCTACTCTTAACCGATACCCAACCATAATTTTCTATGACCTACACAATGTGTCCGTTCCTTTAGTATGACGCGCCCAATTGTTCCTTTTAGATGGGCGTACAACTAACATGGAACCAAAAACAGATAATTCCCTATAGACGCTGCAGAGAAGAACAAAGGACAAATACGGGTATGCATAAATGACCCATTTTTCGAGCCTATGTCTGAGAGGAAGTACTTCTATGAAACGATATTTTACGTTGTAGACCCAGCGCTTCTTTCCCAACAGCATTAGATCAATATATATATATATATATATATATATATATATATATATGTGCGTAATTCTGCTTCGATTCCTTAACAGGCAAAAACAGGCGCATTAGAACAGCAATATAGAGCACGCTACGCTCCAGTTCTATGAAACAGAGGGAGAACCCCATCTGTCATATAATACGAGGAACAACAGTTAACGTGAAGTATGAGCAGGCACAATTTAGTTAGTGATGAAATGGATACATTTTCTGCACGTTGTTCAATAAATGAATTTTCACCCATTCATTGAACAACAGAATATTTCTAGCAGTGCTTGGCGGGAGTATTTATTGCCGTCAGAACGAATTGTTAACTTAATCGTTGTGCCCGATTGCAGCAGTATGCTTTGTATTGTGCGATACGTCACACTTCCATCACCGAAATCATCTTTCACCACAACTTCAAAATTGTCTCATCGCCCTAAACTTCCAGCGGAGCAGGGGCTGCGACAAAAATCCAAAACGCTAAGGACCCAGCGTATGGCTCATTGTATATTCATGATAATTGTTGATATAGGCTAGGGCTCGACACAATCCACAGAAACGCGCAAGTTAGAGCAACATATTCATAGAGATAGAAATGTACCACTCGCTTCCAGAGCTAACATTTGTCATAATACACATCGCATACATTTTCAACATTGGCCCACATGTCGGATTGTTTACTGATCTCCACTTAATTCGTTATTTTCAATCTTTAATGAGTCCGATAAAACTATGACATCTCGCTAACAAGCTCACTGCCCGGCAACATCGAGTCTATCATCTCAAAATGGACCCGTCATTCAAAGAGACACACACAGTTATCTGGGACGATGTTCTGAGATGTGGTATCAAAAAAAAAAAAGTTCTAGCCATCCTTTCAGACCCTAGTGCAATTGGTAATAATTCCGTTAACATAATCCGATATGAGTAACAAGTTGAGTGGTACCTAAGGTTTGATATGATATAGTTACCTAGAACCGATTAATATAGATAGAGTGATTTCGATCCGCCAGCGCTTACTGCCCGTGGGAGACTACGTTTTAATCAGGCACGTTATACTAGCAGGTATGTAGCACGATGATCATTAGTTAGATAGAGAGCACAGTTGAACAACGGATCTGTGTGCCTCCATTGTCCTTTTAAAATTCTATTACTCCAGTACACTGAGTCCTTAGGCATTTGCAAACTTTACCGACGCATGCTTTTACTTCGTGGTACACACAGATCTTCTTTCTCCTTATACACACATAGGCATTGGTTCGAGAAGCGCACAGACTTGTTGGGTTAATTCACGTCGCTTACTTGAATTCAGAGCAAACTGCAGAATAAATACGCTTCCCCTGTGTGCGTTGTTCTTATTATGTTTGTTTGTTTCCAACACCGTGACACGCCACACGCGAGGACACACCACCCCATGAATCTCACGAACTCCCATGAATAGGTTAGACGAACCAGGGTCGGTGGCACGACGACAACTTACAAGGTGACGGATCCTGGAAGGGCCTGATACGGATTTCCTGACGCTCGCTCTGGGAAGATGCGACTCGGCAGGGCTAGTTCGGCCTAACGGACAGTCCCTTCGGACCAGGCTAAGATAGCGGGCCCGCTGATCAGGTAAAATACGGTACGAGAAAAGCGAGGCAAAACAGGATTGCGTCACAGGAGTCACGCGACGGTGATAATATTCATTAAAAAAGTTTCGGTAATGGGCATAGTAAAGGCGAACATATCTCTGAGATGTGAGGGACGATTTTCCTCTGATATAGAAGTGACTGAACATTGTTACAATGGCACGAAGTAGAGCGCCTACCCCAGAAGCTAGCATATGAACCTGGTTGCGTGTTTTTCTTTACGTATTCGAGAGACAACATATAAACGTTTCCAGTTATAAAAGCTTTAAAAATTACCGCGAAAAAAGCGCTCATTAGTCAAGGATGACAAAAATGTTGCTAGTTTGACATGATCGTATTGGGCATGCCTTAGCATAGGAAGAGAGCGAAATAAATCAAAACGAAGAGGCTCCAATTAAAATGTTAGGCAGATTTAAATGTTATATATCTGAGGCCAGTGAGTACAATGAGTAAACCCCATGCCTGAATCGTTTTGTAACTCTTCTGATATATAAACTTCTTTATGAGTTCTGTAATTATATATATATATATATATATATATATATATATATATATATATATATCTATATAGAGGAAGAAAGGACGAAGGAAAGATAGAGAATACGAAAGTAAAGAATAAGAAAAGAGAAAAAGATAAAAAAAAGCGCATATATTTTCTTTTATCACTATATACATCAGCTTACGTGCACATACAGGCTTCGAAGCTTAGTAGAGGACGCACTAAGGTTGTACAGCAGATCCAATCTACGTTGCCATATAAATCATAACAAGCGGCAAATGCATGTTTGATTTATACATCGCTTTGTATACACAATGATATTGCATTGTATCTTGACTGATAGAAATCAGGGCTTGATATCTATACTATAACATTAGAGCCTTTCCAAATATAGTATTAGAAACAATAATTTAAAGTTATTTTAGATATCATAAGTCGTTATCTTCTAAAAACGTTATTAATAAGAACTGAGTTGTTCGGACAGTTAGTCATAGTAAGGGCGTTTATGATGCTGGCTGTGGGTTCAGCGACTTTAATCGACGTCAGTCGCTAACGAGATAAAACACTTAATAACAAGACGAACTCCTACATCTGGAGGAGCTAATCTAAAGCGGCATGAAACGCAAGACAAACCGGAAGGAGAAGAGGACGAGAAGGAAAAACGGATCTGCTCGCTTTTCATATCTGAGGTTTCCTCAACGCTTTTGATCGATCGACTCGACTCGACTCAAGACTGCTTCATAGACCTGCTCCCGTTGGTTTCTATCGTCAGCATCTTTTGGGCTGAAGCCAACTAAAATTGCCAACGGCAGCGCCTTCAGCAGGAGCGCGCTCACTTCCCACTGGGAGATACATGACAGCAAACATGCTAGCTGACCTAGCTAACCCAAAAGAGCAATGACTGGCCAAACGCTTCTGAGAAAATTAAGTGGCGATATTGTGTCACTCGCCTAACATTAGCGCAGAATTGGTATTTTTCTGGGTTCTGCCTCGAATGCCAACATCGGCGCCACGGCCGCCTTCGCCGATATGGGTACGCTACCTTCTCTGAGCCGCGCCCTCGTATCGTACGCGCGGAACCGTAAGTTCACTTGCGAAACCGAATTGATTCTGAATAGGCCTGCCGCCGCTGTATGCAGGACATATTTACCTGTTCGAAGTTCGCTCGAAAAGTGCTCACAAAGCGGATGAGAAAAACATAAGCGCACTTATTTGAGATAGCAAATTTGCCTGATCAGCTACGCGAACAAAGAGGAAAGAGTGTCACTTTGATGCTGTTGCCTGACAAGAACCAGCTAAGAGAAACCCAGAAAGCGCAAGAAGCAATTTTTTTTATATCCATTTATAATGGAAAGGCCTATTCTATTCTTCGATGGTATCCTACAGTGTAAAGTAAATGCCGACAAGAAGGGCGGATCAGCGTTGAAAGGAGTCGAGTTTCTTTCAGCTCTTTGAAGGCAAATGAATTGAAGTCTTTTCACGCTGAAAAAGATTATTTGCAATATAGGGCGTTTGATATATAGGGAGAAATAAATTCTAGCATTCAGCGTACATCGATACTATATTGATCGTGAGTTGAGTTTATGCTTAGATAATACTAGTGACAGATAAATTTTCTGTCTAGCATAGCTGTACAAATCAGGTCAAGGTCAATGGCCAAGCAAAAGCAAAACGGCACTCCCCTAACCGTCTAGCATTTGTTACAGCCCGTGGATTTTATTGTTGTACCACTAGATGCATAGTAGTTGACGTGGGCTGCATAAATTCGTTTATTACCTGGTCGTCAAAGGCCTGTCGAGGACCACTGGCTAACTCGAACAGCTTGCGAAATTTACCGTAACGGGGTTCCAATATTTAATAGAGTATAAGATATAATTGAAATATACCACTGATTACTATTCTGAACTTTATGATCCAGCAATTACTAGATAGAATTGATAGTAAAAGTTTGTTCTATTGCTTGAAATGCTCCACAGATTGAACAACTATATTAAATATAGACCTAATGCTTGCACCTATTAATTGTAAGAAGATGCCATTGAAGCGGTGTCGGAAAATCTTCATTACGAAACTACGACCGCTCGGGGCGATCACAGTTGTTGTCACGTATTTGCGCTTAGCTTGTTATCCACGTACGCAATTACGAGACGTGTAGTTGCTTGGAGAAGACAGTGCGGTCAGTTTTCTATTGATTGACGCACGGGTCATTAGAAATAAACGAAGACCCTGGTACTATAAGCTCTGGCCTGGGTTACATATCGTTGATGTGCACACTAAATTAGCCCAAGACCCCAAATACGTTTGCTAATTAATTCAATTGTTACCAATAAAAATGCTACACAAATGAGCTATACGTATGTGCGTGTGCGTAGCGACACATCAAAGCCCCTCAAAAGGCTGCTCTATCTGCATCCGTGCATGAACACGCAGTAATTTAATTAAATATATTTTCTTACTTAGCGCAAGATTCTATTATACGGCCGTAGATAGTTCTCCGTAGTTAAAAAAAAATGCTAGTTGTTTCAAGTTCGACGTCCTGTATTCTTAGTTAGAACTTGTTCAAGTTCGCCTGTTAGCTAAGTGATAGAGTCCCTTGCTGCTAATCAAATAAAATGAAAAATGCCTAATGCCTTTACTCGGTAAAATGTCCGTATCTGCAGAATCCGAATTCGTGACGTTAGCATGGAAAAACTGGTATCGGACGCGCGAGCAAAAAACTTGGAGAAACTTGGAAAACAGCAACTGCTATATTTCCCGCAAAGGGAATATCTATTTCGAAATTCACGCCTATTTTCTATGAGTTTTATCTCGGATAATGTACTGATACTCCGTTCATATCTACAATGATAGAATAGTTCCCTAAAAGCAGGTGAGACGTGCTTAAGCAGCTCCGTTCTATTCAGAACTGCTAGTCGACATTGTACATACTGAATTAATCTATATCCCTATATAGAAGTTCGTATAACTTTATTATGTTATTATACTTACTGCAACGAAAAACCAGGGCGGAATTATGATCTAGCGAACTGCATGCGTAACAAACTTACCAATGCATTAATGTTGACTGGGACAAGATCATCAGGACACGAGGTAGGTTTGCTCAAGGTGGCAGAATCGCCACCTTGCTTCGCCTGGGCCAGGCTGTCATAGGCATTTTTCTGCAGGCGTTTAGTTGCCGGTAGGCAAACAATGCAGGGCAGGAATCGAGCGAGATGTACACACATGTAATGTTTATAGCCACACCAGAGATAATCGTAGCGATCGCGGACCGATCGTGCGGTCAGCAGTAATACAGAGCCGAATCCAGCGGGACGATCATCGGCGTAGTGATAACGTCAGCACATCAGGGTAAACACATTCACCAATCAAATAATCCGTTATTGCGCCATAACGGCACATACCGAGCACATGCATCAAACCGCACACAACATACAAAGTAAACGATGTTAGGAAAAAGTGCTAAAATTCGGAGGCAAAAAAAAGTTCAGTTATATCGATTGGGTGTTCGGGTGGAAGACGCAATGCAGAACTTGCGGGTGCCGAGAATAGCTAATTGTACTACATAATTTTGAAAGGCTACGTTGAGCGTTATTGTCGAACCGTTATTTAAGCACGCTGGAATTTATTCATAGCATACCCAAACTGAACACAACGAACTATCAATTGATGGATCGTCATACTATCCAGATACTTCCACAACTAACTATTTACTGCTGTATAGTAGTTACTGCATAGTTAACTTGACTTTTAAACGTACTATATACCGACACACATAAACAACACAACGACAAAGTACACCTAAAAAAAAAGAAAATTTGACAGGCACTCACAAGGCATTCAATACTGATCGATGGTATATTTTCGCGCGAGCGAAGCGCCCTTTCAGGCGAAAGCGGCATAGATCCATGCCCGTTACAGATCCTATTTTCGACTGCATTCTGGACGTAGCTTTGCTTCTGTGGCAGTGACAATCTCGGTATTGGTTTTACAAACGATGGCAAAAGTTGTTGGCTTCGACATGTGGTGTTAACAATTTTGTTTGGATTTTCGTTGCGACGGATTATACGCGTTGTCTGCTGGAAGTTAGGTGACACTGAACTAATCATAAGGTTTGTATCATTTGTATTGCTAGCCTCCGTGGTGGTGGAAGTGAATTCATTAGAGGAATCGGCAATTTTCATGCAAAACGAACCCACACTGCTGCTTGCTACCGTCACCCCATTGGCCTGACTGTTCGGTGACGTTTGTGCCTCTGTTGTTATCGTTATTGTCGTATTTGTCGTGTGTGTCGCTGCTTGCGCCTCAAGTGGAGCCAACAGAGTCCCTTCAGTTGCCTTCCTCTTCCTAGTTGACGAAAGGGATCGTAATATCCACTCGACAATATGGAGCAGGGTAAGCAGCATGGTCAGGTTTTTTGCGCGGATTTTTTTACAAGACAATTAGTTGTTACTCATATATCGGAAACATTGTATACAGGATACCACCTTCGGCTATGACTTCAGAGCGTAGTCTATGATATAGCATGATATTGGTTATGCCATATAGCGGGTATGTTACTCGGGCGTCGCGGGGCAGACATATACTCGTTGTCGTCACACTTTCCTTTCTATAAAGTGAACGAAACACGATACTAAATCGGGAGACTAGGTCGGTTGATCCAGGACCCACCAACAAAGCTCTAATTGGTCAAATCTTTTCCGCATACCCACACGCAATACGACTGCTCAGGCTGTTGCTACATATCTTTGGGCTGCGATTAAACGACCTTTTGGTCGAACACCGGCGTCCCGGACTAACGGTACGGTTGATATCAGCTGATAGGAGCTTTCATGATGCACTGCATAGAGATAGCCAGTGAGAGCACCACTGGGGCATAGTTGGAACTAATAGCAACGAGACCACAGAATTATATCCTCGCTATTGTTAGTGCTTCCTCCGAGCTCAAAAATCCGTAATGATGCAACAGTCACAAGGCTGAATGTGACCTTAACATGACTGAACTCTAGTAAGTGTTCACCGCCTACAATTGCTACTGTGCTATGATGAGTTACGTTTTAAACGGGATAATGGGTCTGAATGATGGGAATAATGGCTGATAATGGGTCGCGAATGAGACATGCAACTTCTAGCTAAGCTCGTTGATTTCGTCGGGGTTTCCGCTGGCGTGGACGTCATAACCTCAGAGGCTTTATAAAACCTGCTTTGCTAGCTCGAATTAAGCGCAGCCGTCTCATTAGTAACTATAGAAATTACTCTGTGTCAACTATCAGACCATTAGCGTCCAGCTGGCTTGCTGTTAAAGGCACAATTAGATCTATGGTATATACAAGCACACAGACACATACACGTGCCTACAGCTGCACCTACGTGTCGAAATAAGAGTCGCTTGATCGCAAAACAGAGACACTACGCCTTCGCGGCAGATTGCCACTACAAGGAGACGCAAGGCGATTTCGAGCCGCCGGGAGGCCAAGCGACTGTTGCCGGAGCGGATCTTTTGAGTGACGCTACGCATTATAGCGGGCGTGCGTTTTACGTTAGCGACTGTGGAGTGTCAACGCACAGTCTAAGCTAATACCGGCTGACGACCGCCATAATAACTGAACTAGCTGGACAAGGGTCAGTTGGTCATAGAAAGTGAAGCCTATGGAAGCACGTGGCGCGTTTGTAACAAAGCAGCGCCACGGCCATCCCCTTCCTGGCAATTCCGCTTCGTGGAATCTACAACGGTAGCTACGGTTTCGTCGGTGGTTGAGGAATTGCTAAAGGACACCGATACGAGTTTGTAAATAGGGCACTCTTTCGAGACGGAGACGAAAAGAAAAACAAATGCTGAGCGGCCGAAGGGGTTTGATGCGCCAGCGTTGCTCTACAGATGTGACAGCGATATTATCGTTAGGAAATAACATGCGATGACAGAGTACCACGGCCTGACTAGACTGAAAATGTTTGGTGTGGGTTTATTGCATAGATAGCAGTTCCCATTCGGACTAGCAAAAATGGGCGAGATAGCGAAAACTGCTGGGCCACATGAATAGTAGTATTCTCCCACACTAAGATTCCATACAAAGAGCGAAAGTAAGCATGTGACTACTGTAAAATGACTGAATTGGTGTGTACTCTCCGCCTTATAGACAGAATACACGTATGATCTTGATAAAAAGCAATTTGAAAGGTTATCAGCAGATAATAAAATGTTTACATTATCTAATTATCGAGTGAATCAGTGACGTATGTTCGCAACAATTGAGTCCAGATAATTGATTCGACCTGTTCGTGATCTTACCGCATAGTACAAGACAGTGTGACTAATTGAAATCATTTAGCCACATCTAAAAACATAAATGACGTCCTTATAAACTTAGCGACATCAAAATAGTTTTCGATAGACTTCATCTGATATCGGATGCCTCCGCCAATCTGATAATGGAAACGGTGTCCAATTCGTTGCTTTGAAGCTGTATCATTCACGCGTATCTCATCGTGTAATCCACTCCATCGTACTCATACGTGCTTGTTGTTCTTATGAATCTATGCAATAATGTTGCGTAAGGGGCACGTTTTTCTGCTGTTCGTACCAGTGTGGAGAGTGACAGCCCAGTTATCGTCGGGGCATAGGGTGCCCCATTGCGACTAAATCCCTTTTCCGTAATTGTAATATAACTGTCTTTCTGCAAAGGACAAATGACAAGAATGACGAGGTAAGTGGGTAAAAGCATTTGAGGAGCATGCTGCAATAGCCGGATGCAACAGTCAGGCCCTGGAAGTTAGAAAATATTGAGCACTGATAGGGTCACGGGCCCATAAAGCAAACAACACAGAAACATGCATTACAATTCGAGAAGCATAAGGACGTTTCGTGTAAGATTCGCTAACACAATCTAGTGCGTGTAGCGCGATTAGAGGTTTACTTTTGATGCCCGGCCTTCGTCGGGCAGTCAAGCATCTACGATGTGGCGCCGTTGTAATATTTTCAACTGATAATACGCGTTGATATCTTTATATTGTTCCTATTTACACTGTAGGGAACCTTATTAGTGAAGGGCTTGTTATTTAGCTCACCTTAGTTTCGATGAGCCAACGTAATTTGAAAAAGACAATGAGCTAGGAAGTAGTGATTAGGTCATCATTCTTCTTGTCCTTTGAAAGTTCATCTGGAGTAGCTCTGGGTGGAAAAATGAGAAAATGAACAGAAATACGATACAGGAAAGAATAAGCTGCACAAAGATGCAGCAAAAATCGTAAATGCAAAACTAGTATAGATGATAGGTTAACGACAAGCTCAGCGCCATATTTACAACTTATCCCAAAAACAATAATGTCTAAATTTTTGAATTTGGAACACGAAATAGAATTCTGCATGACATAGCCAACATGAGAAAAGACATCGCTTCGTTTCTTATGAGGAGATCGATAGACGGGATAAAATGCTTGTTCGAACACTGAATCATACGCCTTTTGGTGGGCTAGAACATTTTGAATTACAGCAGCAGTACCGTGCAGAATAGTGAAATGGGGTATAATGAAAAGCCCCAGAGAGAAAATCCAGACCAGGGCTGAAACGCCTCCATTTCATGGGCAGACGATTCCACCAGCAAAACCGCCGGTGCAAATCCTGCTTCTGCTGACGCCACTATAAACCCCGAGTTCTAACAGCATTGGTGCCAATGGCACATGGTATTAACAAAGCGAAGGAGAGGTTGGCAGTAAAGAAGAGGTGACTGATCAGGCATCCGACCCTTCCAATCGAACAAACGACAGCTCAATCAGAAGCTGTCAGAGGGCAGAAGCTATATATTTAAGCGATACAGCGGAAAGCCGCCATCATCGCTAGTACAACGGGTCCGGCTATGTTGTCGCTGGAAAAAAATGGACGTGCCGAAAGAGAGGGCCGAGAAAAAAATACGACCCAACCAAATTTTCTACTAGCAGACAGCCAAGGTATACACGAACGAACCGTCGCACGAGATCGGCGTCGGTCATTGATTGAAATCTTGAAAGATTGATCAACAATAATCAATAAGCATAGTAGGATGTAGAACGATAAAATACAGTTAATTTAGACAGGACTCGCGTTTAGAAACGGCCAACACTACCGTCCTCGATTGGATTCGATAGTTGCATGGCGCGATTCGTAGCTGTAGTCTGGTTCCCTTATCAGTGTACCCCGCTGCCCATCCGGGTGCATAGACAAATATACGGAGTACGAGATAGACGTTAACCAACTTTAATGAAGTGGGTAGTACACGTAACAACCTGACAAAACATTAAAAGGCATGAGGAATCGACCTCGTAAACGATTGTCGAAAAGTTTATTATTTCGCTTATTTGGAAAGACATCAAGCAGGCAGCGGAAAGAGTATACGAACGAAAGTATTTAGGGATTGACACAAGCAGGAAGCAATCAAAGGGAGATTCTATACTGATCACAGTATACAAGTAAAGGTAAATCTAAATCTGGCAAGAGACGCGCGAGGAGTGTAAAACCAATATATAAGCGCGCGAATACTCAGTATATATAGGTAACCACTATTGAGGGAAAGCTGCTCGCGTGCTATTATATGGTGCACTATGAATCTAAACGCCTATGAAAAGTCGGCAACTTTTTTGCGTTTTCTTCTTTCTTTTAACTTTCGAGAAAAAAAGTTGGCATGTCACAGAATGAACAGTCGGGTAGAACTTGCGAGCTATAAAATAGCTGTCAAGAATAGCTATAAAATAGTCTCTAGACTTATATATCTCTAAACTTATATATATATATATATATATATATATATATATATATATATATATATATATATAAGCGAATGCAAGATTTAGAACAAAGGTGAATTTTTTTTTGTCAAGTTTGAAAAATGAACTTGTCACGAATCGCCTGTTAATAGCTATAGAGTAATTTTATATGACGTTTTATCACCAATATGGCACATTATTATGGTCGAAATTTAACTAGTGTCACCCTTACTACTAAAGTCAACATTTTTTTTGTAATTATCTAGTTTTTATCGATAGAAATTCGCTACGGTACAGATCGAGCTTGAGGACATTCTCAATACATGTAAACTACGTGGGCAAG